GAGTCAGTGTGGTGTAGTGGTTAAGAGCATGGGACTGGGACTCAGAGGATCTGGGTTCTAGTCCCCGCTCAGCCATGGAGCCAACTGGGTGACTTTGGGTCAGTCACAGACTCTCAGCCCAACCTACCTCACAGGGTTGTTGTTGTGGGGATCAGATGGAGGAGGAGAATGATGTAAGCTGCCTTGAGTCCTTTGTAGGAAAAAGGCAGGATATAAATCAAAAAATAAATAAATAAAGGAAGACTCAGCCTTGAATTTGCAAGAGCTGAGTGGGGCTGTCATGCATAGGGCATTTTGGAGGGCTTTCATTCATAGGGTTGCTATGAGTCAGAGATTACTTGATGGCGCACAACAGCAACAACAATGGCATTAATTCCAGAAATTAAAGGCAGAGAAGAGGAGGAATGTGATGCAGATTATTGTGTCAATTTGAAAAGCAGATATTTATATGGTGTCCCAGTGTACAGGGTAGTTTTCTTTTGTAGATAGCAGTAATTATTTGATACCATATCAATCACCACCCTCTTTTATGGAAACAGAACACTTTTCTTCAGGTTTTCCTTTTGCACATATATCTGTTCTAACAAGGCTCAGCTGTACTTTTTAGTCTTGAGTAGTCAAGATAATCCAGTGGCTGGCTTTCTGAATCTGCTTTCTGAATCTGTATCAGACTAGTCAGCCTAATCTAGCTGAAGAAGCTAGGCCCAGCCTCCACAGAACCAGTAGTCTTAGGAAATAGAAGTGACATGTTATAAAGGGTCACATAAGACAGTGCAGCTCTGAATAGATATGTTATAAATGGAGACAGGACTTAGTTTAGGAGATTTCTAACTCCAGTGCCATAAAAGCAGCATATATGCTATCATGAACATAAGTGGAGGGAAGTGAACAGGGACTATGGAAATAGATCACTTTTTAAAAATTTTAAATCAGGGATATTAACTGAATTGGTCTCTAGTATAAGGTCTGTAGATAACAGTTAGGCTGAGGTCCAGCAGAAAATATGGAGAGATAGATTATATCTCTTATTTCCATGCATGTGATAACATCCACTCTCTCAGACTCCACCCTTTCTTTCCAAGAAACTTCATGGATTTTTGCTGTTTTTTTCCCCCCTTGTTTTAGGACCCCAATATAATTCCTGTGAAAATGGGAAACATTGTTACTTGTGATCAAGGAGGTACTGCTATAAAAACTGGGGGGCAGGAATCTTTTGAAATGGTCAAGGGAACAGGACACCAGACACTGGAATCAGTCAAGGGAGGAGGACACCACACCTTAGAATCCGTCAAAGGAGTGGGACATCATACATTAGACTATGGAAGGGGAAATGGACAGTCCATGATGGAGACATACAAATACAACTACTCAGAATGGCAGAATTTCACACACCCTCGCCTCACTGAGGTAAGCATGCCGCCAGATATTCAGTTATCGTTCATTCACAAACTCCTAGGCATAATGTGAATCCTCTACAATGACGGGTGAGATGTTTTAAAGAAATGTTTAAGGTTTAATTTGAATTCACCCTGTGGCTTGGAACATTACTGTTCCAACTGTCCTTTAGTTGTCTTGGTGTATAGGGATTTAGGAAAAAAAACCCTCCTGCACTCTATTTGGAGTGGTTACCCTTGTTTTAAGGAAAGAAAAGAAGAAAGGCTGTTGTACCTCACCAGGTCTTTGCAATTTCTGTTGGTTTTGCTTTCAATCTCCTCTCCCCTGTGGTGTTCTTCTCTTAACCTTATTGCCAGTATTCTGCCAGTACTGACCACCATGATTGGTGGTAGAATCTGCTTAGCTAGTGCAGCCTGGGAAACTGTATCTGGTATGAACTGAAGCCAGGAAGCTGAATCCTTGTTATTATAAATCATAACTGTTGTGCGTCTCATTTTCTTATTTTAAATAAGGACGTTGATAACATGTGATCAATAGACATTAAATTTGTTAAATTCTTCATAGAATGAATGATATAGACCAATCATGTGCATTTTTTGTATATAGGAATCCATTAGAGGACACACTCTGATTAAAAATTAAACATTGAAAGGTAAATCAACGAAATTATTTTTATGTCATATGTTAAGATTAGTTGAAGAAAACAAATAACCTGTCTTATCTTTTTTTCTTTTCCTATGCAGAAAGTGTATCTGTGTGGACAGGATGAAGAGCATAAGCATTCTGATGATTATATCCTTTCATACAATTATGAAGGAAGAGGCTCTCCAGCTGGCTCTGTAGGCTGCTGCACTGATCAGCAAGAAGAAGAGGCACTTGACTTTTTAGATCAGCTGGAACCCAAGTTTAGGACATTAGCAGAAACCTGTGTGAAGAGATAAGTGTGCTGACAACAGCGCAGGAAACCACCCCCCTTTTCACAGGGTCGCTGTTTTAAAACTTGAATACAGCAGATTTCTCTCTGTCTCTTTCTCTTTTCCTTCATGGGAGTGGTTAATCAAATACAGTCTAGTATTAGAGTTGTTAGTATCAATATTTCTGTAATAAAACTTCAGGGTTCTTTGCTTTTCTGATGTATTCTTTTAGATTTACATTGAAACATCTATTTTTTAAACCAAATGTAAATACAATTTTGTAGTTACATGGCTTTCTACACAGCCAGAATGTTTCTGGTTTTCATTGCATCTACCTTTACAGGAAGGGAAAGTGTATTCCTTATCATTTTAAGAACTAAAGTTCAAAGAATTACTGGTTGTTTGGGCCTCGGTGATAGTAAACCTTGTTTCATTCACCTGGATCTTTCTTTTAGTTTTATGGAACAAAATGCTACAGCATTACTGTTGGATGTTCAAGTAGTTAGCAATGTCTTATATTCTTATAAAAGTCCAAGGGGTTTTGTTTGTTTGTTTTTAAGAACTGAGACAATTGAAATAAAGCAACAAAATGTCACAACCAGCTATGCCCTTTGCATGTTCCACCCCCTTTCCTGGTTTTCCATTCTCCTTTCCCTCTTCCTGCGTCTCATCAATCTTTCTGTACTCCAGCAATACTTTTCACTGAGCTAGAGTTAGAAGGGTAGAATAAACAAAGTGCCTATTTTTAATGCAAACTGTGGGTTTCCCTCCAAGCCTTCTGATACTTCTCCCTTATGTGTGGATGGTGCCATTTTGGTTCCGTAAGGAGCAACACTCAGACAACAAGTTTACTGGTAATGGATTAGGTATGACTATGATATGCATTCAGTTTGAAATAAACAGGAACAGGGAGGAAGCAATGTCATAATGCATACATCTAATGTTTCTTAAACTTCCTCCCACATACTGGATTTCTGTGCACTAAATCGGGATCAAATGCATGTGCTGAAACCATGGCAGCAGTAAGCATACAAATGAAAATGTGACATTGATATGCTGTTGAAAAAGATGACAAAAGCCACAATTTCACACAGTGAAATTGCAGGAATAACAACAGTGTGATCTGAGCACAATGAATATTGCCGAGTGTTTTGAAACATTGCATTGATCACACTGTAAACACAGGTATAATTTGGAAAACACTGATACCCTCAGTTACCACTTTTATTGACTTCTTCCATCTCTGGCCCAACAGAGAAATATCCAGGAATGATCTCTGCTGGGTTTGCACATCACATGGTGATGATCCTTTGAAATTTGCTTGCATTAATTTTCACAGTGTGAGCTATTCTGACAAAATGTACATTTGATCTTTTTTGTACACAGAAATGTATGTACCTGTAATTGGTCTGGAAATACAAGACAAGTATATAGTGTTGGAAATCTGGACACCTAAATAAAAAGGCAAGAAGCACATAGCAGCTTTTAGGTGTCCCCCTGTAGTTCTTTGAGATCTACTATTGAGCAAAGTAGCTTTATAAGGAAGATGTTTTGGCATAAACAAAACTGGACTGGATCCAAATTAGTCAAGCTTAGAATAATTTGTTGTATTGACTCTAGTGGTTCTATTCTAAATCTGGATCCAACCCACTGCATTTTTCAAAATGGAAGTGCTATACCTGATAACACTTTTTACATTGAAAATTAATGTAGTTCACAAATGGTTTTCCTTATGCTCAACTTAATATATTCCAATTTTGTTTATGCTTCTGTACTTTGTTATGCATACTTCAGTATCACTGGTAGGAGACTGATGGAAAGTAGATGCAAGTGGGTATATAGAATCATGAATTGAGATTATTTCTGGAGCACCGACAACCTTGAATACTGAGAGAAAAATATACCATCTCAAAAAAAAAAAGTATTTATTTTTAAAGCAAACTTTCAGACTAGCTAGAATGTAATAGTTAGCACTACCTGGGTTTTGCCTCTTAAAGTCAATAGTACTGAAGCAACTTCATTCCAAATATTTTTGTGACTGATTTGTGAATTAATCAATGTTAAAATTGTTTTCTCATATATTTATCTGGATCTGCAATATCCAGAAAATGTATTAACACTGTTGCAAATCAGTGAAAAGCCTTAAATGAACAATAGTGTTCCTCTTAGATTCAGGGCTTTATTAATGGTTATGCTTGTAATGCATAATCTTGGGTCCAAGATCTATTATAGTAGCTAACACAAACACACACATCAATGAATACTAAGCATGCCCTGCTTTGGGAATCATAGCTCTAATGCAGTGAACATTAATCACAATTAAGTTTCATAAAAAGCAATAGAAACCTGAGTTGGTCACAACTACATTATGCACTGATTAAGAGAACAGGTTTGACTAATTTTGGTTGTATTGGAGCTGTTATAGTTAAACATACAAAATACAACCTGAGGTGAAGAGGTGACACAGAATAAGGGCTGTATCAAAGCTATATTCTTAGCATTTTACTGAAAACCATATAAGAAAAAGGGAGGAAATTTATGTTTCTCTGCTTTGCTTTTAAGTTCTGTGAACAAGTAAAAACTATATTCATCTGTTCAATATATTGTTTCAGTGTAAGATACAAAGCACAGAGCAAAATTTAAAAGCAACCATAATAGCAACCATGAACTAATTTTGCTACAATGAAGGCTTACTCTAAACTAACAAATATTTCTATTCAGTAATGTCTTTTGTATGTGTTGGGTTTGGCATCTGTCAGTTTAAATTTACCTAAGTACAGCCCAATTACTTTTATAATGTTGCAGCATTAATTATTGCCATGCATTGAAATGCTGCAGAATTTTTTTCCAATAATCACTACTCCGTAAGAGGAGAAACTGTTATATGAGGTTATTAGATATTTTTAGTTTGGTCATTCTTCTTACCACCCAATTGTGTAGCATGTAATATTCAAGAATAGTATCTTGTTCAAAATTGGAGAAAACGGAATGCTTCAGGATAATACTTCTTTGAGAATATTTATATGATTTTAAAATAGGTTTCATTTATATGATTTTAAAATAGGTTTCCCCTTGAATTTGTCACCTCTAAATCATGACGTACATGTCTGCATAATTTATTAAAACTAAAGAAATCACACAACTATCTTCTAGTTTAAGTCAATTCAAATTGAAAAGGCCAGTGCCCATAATTAAGGGGGAGGGAAGATTGCAGGGGTGGGAAGAGGTATTGTAGTAGCGTTGTATAGCATAAATAGTATAAAATAGCATACTGATCCTGAATCAGATTATGTTAAATCTTTTCAGCTTTCTAATATAGGTAATTCTTAGAAGAGGAGGTGCAATATTGAGGTTACAAATATGTGGCATGAGCTGAGATGTGCCTGTCTTATTTTAGTCATAAACTTAACTGGGTGACCTTGGTCAAGTCACTATCTCTTAGCCCTCTGGTTGTAATATGGGGATATTCATATTGCCTTACATTATATGTTGCTGAGACCTTGCATGTGAAGTGCTTTGAGCTTTCAGATGAAGTGTTGAACATAAATGCATATTATTATTACAGATTCTTGCTTGTTTGGAGCAACTTAGACAAGGTTCCCACCTCTCAATAATCAGTTTCTCCCATTGGCTTGTTCTGCCCTTGGGTACAAACTGTTAGAATTACCAAGATGATACACAAATGTTTAGCAAATTATTCATTTCAGGATAATGTTACTAAGATTTCTTTGTTGCTACAGTATGAAAATTGGGTGCCTTTCCAAATTTCCAAATCTATCAGGGATAGATAAATGTCCAAATCTATCAGGGATTCCTTCATTAAATTATTAATGATGTAATAGTGTTGGAAATGAAAGAGACAGTTGTTCTCGATGCACATTCCAGGGCTAGGGTGACACTGACACTTCAGATGAGGACAGTGAGGACTGGGAAAGGAGGCCTACCGATGTAGAGATGGTGGGGGTGGAAGAGCATTTCTCTAGGTGTTCAGGCAGACTCTGGGAACTGCCAGGGTCTGGAATTGTGGAGAGAGGAGCCAGAGGAGCCTGGCCCAATCATTGACCCCATGACAAGGCATTGGGAGAGAAGCACTAGCCAACTAAAGGAACTGCATGCAGCTAGGATGCTTGCCCATCTCCAGAGGGACACTCGGAGGGGTGGGGTCCAGGTTCCTCAAAAGTAGGGTTCTCAAAAATAGTTTCTTGTTTGGTATACATAGAAGAACTGTCTGTTGCTTGAAAGAAAGGGGAGGAACCTACCTCCTGAAAATAAGCCTTTCTAAAAGCAGCTTGTTGACCACTAAACATCTTTCCCTGCTATGCATAGATTTCATGGAACAATGGTAAAGTATGACAGGCCAAACTTACATCCTGCATGGACCCTCTATGATACCTAGAACATTGCTTAAACATCCACTTGGACTGTTTGGAAGACCAGTTGATAGAGAAAGGTTCCCTGAAAAAGAGACATTTGGAAACTACTGTAACTGTGCAATCCACTTGCATTACTAAATTTACTGGCCTGAAAGAGAAAATTGAAAATAATGTATTGCTTTGATGTGTGAAATTAAGAATTTTGTATTAAATATTTATAAAAACTATATGGGGCAGTTGTGTTTTTAAGTTTATCACACCAGCAGAAACTGCTTTGATTCAAAATGAAAATGATTTGTACTTTCCAACTCTGTTCTTAAGAAGTGTCTAGCTGTGTAAACATCTTGTTTACTTTCATATTTTAAATACATTTTGTACAAGAATAATAAAGTAGCTTTTGTTTCAAAATAAAGGGGCCTATTAAAATGTGGTTACTTCTTACACATTCTGTTTAATTTACACTCATAGGTACTGCTATGCACATGGGCAAAGCTTCAGCAGGGCTGCAGCTTGGATTTTATTCATTGCTTGGACTTAAGTGCTGCTTATGTCTTTTATGTGGCCCATATGGCAATAAGCAGTCATGGCAGATGTTGCCTAGCATTTTGGCCATATGATACTGAAGTTTTCGTGCAGACCTCTGAGGTGTGATCTAATCAATTTGGTTTTATTCTGAACTAGTCATTTTATTGTTCAAGTACTTCATTGTTCTATTTTTATGGTTAACGACATCATGGCGGAAATGGTATATATACTTGCGCAACATGACAAACAAATCCTGGTTTCCAGATATAATAGGGTTTTTAGGTTCAGCTACCAGCACTGGCAAACTACCAATGTGGACAGTTTTCACCACATTTCCCGTTTCATCACAACAGAAAAGCTCTTTTATTCAACAAAAAGCAAAAAACAAAGTTATTGAATGGTTGCCTGATACACCCTAGTGCATCCTTATCCTTATATTTAGGGTTTTGTCTCAGTTTGTCTCAAAAAGGATGGTATAGTATAGCTGCACTATTAGTATAGTATAGTGCAGCTTCCTGAAACAGCTGCCCTCCAGGTGTTTTTAACTTCAGTCTGCTCCCATTCCTAGCCAGTATACCAGGAGGATGCTAGCTTGATGGGTGGTGTAGCTCATTTTATTTAATGAAATGTATAAATAATTGAATAAATCAAAAGCAGAAAGTGTTATTCATAACATAATTGGCCGAGATCTGTTCAACCCAATCTGTAGTCACACCCTTAAACAGTTTAAGAGAGCAGGGAATGGTAAAACTTGGGTGAGTTTTCTAGCCAAATTATGGCTGAATATCAGTGTGTTGCAATTAATCTAACTTTTACTTGGAAACTGCATTCTTACAGAGCAGTATGCAACCAGGTTGCTTGAACTGACTCAAAGCTATATAGTACAGTTGCTTTCTCTTCCTTTCCACTTTAAACTGAAGACTACCTGACCATTGATTTGTGCTTGTTAGTATTAAAGGAGGTGTGCTTTGCTAAGGCCCAACGGTTTGTTAAAAAAGCTATTCTGCCTTGTAAAACTGATTTGTACAGGTAGGTTATTCAAACCTTTATAAAACTCATCACTCAAAAAAATGGAATCAGTAATCTCTTCATTTTTCAAGAGCTGAAAGGGAGTTTTGGTTTTAAATATGTTTCAGAAAGACTGGTGAAAGTTTAAAAGGGGAAAGCAGTTTAAAAACAAAACAATTTTTCTTGGGGGTGGGGGGACAGCAACTGCAGTCAAAGTATCTACCTCAAAGATTGGTATTCTGTTTCTTCAGTATACAGTCAAACTAGAAAACGCTGAATCAGTAGAGAACATGCCATCTTTATCCTTACTTAAATTCTATCCACACCAAATTAACTAGCTATTTACAATCCTATCAGATCATATCTCTTGGAGGAAAGTTCCATTTAGTGGGATACTTGCTGTATCCACAAATGTGCTCAAGATTGCAGCCTCAGATGTAGGCATGGGAAGAAAGTAGCTCTCCAGATGTTTGAAACTTTAAGGCCCAGTACTTTACCCACACTTGTAGGGGCTTCTGGGAACAGAAATCTAAAACATAAGCTTACCTCTAATCAAGGTCCAGTGGCAAAGAAAGTTTCTAGAACCACAAAGAGTAATGCATGCTTTTTGCAAGCATATGGTATGAAGTCCATCCAGTTCAATAGAATGGATCAGTGCCAGTTTGAAAGCATCAGGGGGACAGAGGTGGCATAAAAATGAATGCTGGTGAAAACTCACCTATTGCAGTAACAGAATCTAGGAATACATGCATCGAAAACCCTTCAAATATCTGAAAACATCTAACAACCACATTAGCAATGCCTTCTAGGAATATATGGAGAAAACAAAAAGAGTTCATAAAAAAACAATAACAACTTTCTGTCTTGAAAACTACAAAGCTTTAACAGTGATATTTTCCATGTCCTGCAGTTATGTACCAAACCCATCCATATATAAAGAATCACCGCAGATGCCATTTCAAGGATTAATCCCCCTTCATTACTAAGAAAGAGGAAGGAAGGAAGGGAGAGAGGGGGAGAGAGAGAGAGAGAGAGAGAGAATGTAAGACTCTTAAGGAGCAATGCTGACTAGAGAACGCTTGGAATGGCAGGACATTTCTTTCAGTTTAAACATGCCTGGCACTGAGCCCCTACAGATTCACTCATGTACTAAAGATTAGGGTTGAGGTTATTAAGTTAAAGTCTCACACTTAATGTCCGACAGTAAAGCTGTTAAACTTTCTCTGATGTTGGCCTCATCTACGGACTAGATTTCATGCCTTTATATGTTCCCATGGTCTTTCAGCCTCATTACTCTTCACTGAAGGTTGAAGGTAAGACTTTATTTATTTATTTAAAATATTTATACGCCGTCCTGTCGCAAAAAGCCTCAGGACGGCTTACAACAAAAAATACAACATAAATTCCCGACCCACACTGGCTGCAGTTAAAAACATAGAAAAGACAATATTAAATCTTATTAAAATATTGCTGGAATAAAAAGGTCTTAACCTGGTGCCAAAAAACAAATAACGACGGCACCAGGCGGACCTCTCTGGGGAGCGCATTCCATAGAAGGGGCGCCACCGCAGAGAATGCCCTCCTCCGGGTACTCACCCTCCTAATATCTTTCACAGAGCGTTCCTGGAGAGCCTCTGCTGCCGATCTCAAGGGGCGGGAGGGCAAATACAGAAGAAGGCATATTCCTTCAGGTATCCAGGTCCTAAGCCGTTAAGGGCTTTATAGGTAATAACCAGCACCTTGAATTGAGCCCAGACTTCAATAGGAAGCCAGTGAAGTTGATAGACGACTGGGGTTATATGAGAATAACACCCAGTCCCCGTCAGCAACCTGGCTGCTCTATTTTGCACCATCTGAAGTATCTGGACTGTCTTCAGGGGCAGCCCCACATAGAGCACGTTACAGAAATCCAACCGGGAAGTAACCAATGCATGTGTCACTGTCGCTAGGCAGTCTTCCTCCAGGTAGGGACGCAGCTGATAGATTAGCCAAAGCTGAAGGAAAGCGCTCCTCATCACCGCAGTCACTTGAGCTTCCAAGGACACCTCCGGGTCGAGGAGCACTCCCAAGCTGCAGGTCGAGGAGCACTCCCAAGACTTAAGTGGGTTTGGTGGGTTATCAACGTTTAATAAGATGTCTGCTGATACATTCTATATTTCTTCAGCCAGGATTTGTTTTTGTCATTTTGTTTTAAGCTAGAGAGCCCAACCCTATGCAAGTTTAATGCAAATATTGTCTGCGCTGTTTATAAATTCTAAATATTTAATTCTAACAATCAGAATCTTGAAAACATTATTGCCAGCAGCTCATATCAGTCTTGTCTATGTTAATACCAGCAAAGTAGGATCCCAGATCTAAGCACACTTGCTTGCTTAGAACTGGAATCCTGAGCAACCTTAGGAAACCTAAAGCCACCTTATTTAAGTAATGGTGGGAAAAAAGAAAAAATAGTATGTGTTTGGTTATGTAGCTGTGTGGGGAATGGAGGGGGGATGGTAGAGAAGGAACATAGAAGATTAAAGGCACTGGAAAACATCCCAAAGCACTCAGAAATTGTAGAATACTTTTCTGCCTAAATGTGCATAAAGGGACCTGGAAAGCAGGGGCATCTCTGTTTAAGAGTAGCATTCCATTCTTTAGCAAACTCAGAAGTAACTTCCATTAATTTCAATATCTATCTATCCTTCCAAGTAAGGACTTTTCTAGAAGAAGCAGTTTAACCTGCTCCTTCTAATTCCATTTTTTGGTGGCAGAATTAAGATTAGTGCTCTACATACTTCTTTTCTGTACTTTCTGCTTCATACATTGCTATAATTGAATAACATGATTACTCTGTTTTTGTTTTGCTTTTTGCTTTGCTCTAGCAATATTGCATTTTCCCTACTTCAAAAAACTTTGCAAAACTTCTTGAAAAAGCACAGAGACAAATGCAGCTGGATGGTGACAGTATCATGTAAAGCTCTTATAAACAATCTGAATGAGGAATGCACAGTAGAAGCTTCATCTAGAAAAGCCCAGGGTGTGATGCAGAATGAATGAATGAAGCAGAAATTTTGAAATGAGAGTCCTCCAGAGAATCACTATAAGCAATATCCCCAGAGCTTAAATGTAGTTTAGTTATTGGGACATGTTAACATCCTCTAGGCAAAATGGTTCTTGAAATGGAGAATAAAATGATTGAGGCATCCAAAAAGGGACTCTTGTAGCAATGAGTGAGTTCATTTACCCTCACATGAACTGGAAAACTGTATACTTCAACCAAGAAGTTAAATTTCTTGAAGTTCTATGGAATTATGTCCAAGAGCAGTTGGTCATAAAACCAACCAAAGGGGATGTGGAAGTGGATTTAATCCTAGGTGGCTGCCCCCCCCTTCCCCTGTACATTGTGGTGCTTGTTGAACAAGTTGGAAATAATACTGACAGTGCTAGCAAAATTAAGTGGAAAATTGTCAAGGACAATTGTCCAACACTGTCACATTTTATTTGAACAGAAGTAACTTCTCTAGAGGGAAGGAACTGGTCAAAAGGAAATTGAAAGGGGGATGTCAAGAGAATTAAGTCTCTTCAAAATACTTGGAGGTTACTAAACATCACATTAATAGAAGTTCAGTTAGGTCAGAGAAGGTAATATCACATCTAAGAAGTCAACTGTAGGGTTAATAAGCAACATCACCTTGCTGAAATGAGGAGATCAAAAAGGAACACAAACAGGCAGACAATAAGGAATGCAAAATGTATTTTGAGGAGAACATGACCAATAGGATCAAAAAACAGCAATACGAAATTATTTAAATATATTCAAAGCAGGAAACTGGCTAAGGAGGGAGCTGGATTGTTGGACAATGGTTAAAAA